GCCAATATTTTGGCTCATCTTGGTCACATCAGACCATTGGGACATTAAATTACATCAACCTACTAATTATAAAGTAATACAGTTATGTAAAATGCATTGTTTATAGTGGAACTATCATTATAAAGCCTACATGTCTTATGTCCATGAGTGGCAATTACATTTTAATTTCAAATGGCTTGTTCTTCACCTCTAATATGCAGATCCGTAGTAGATTCAGCTTTTTCCAGAGCGTATCAAGAAGGGCTGCAATACTATATCTACATGAAGAAAAGAGAATAAATGTATGCTTGAAAATCATGGATCAAGTGAAGAAAGCTATTAAGACATTAACGTAATTAACTGTACAAGGACGAAGCATAATGTTTAAAAAGTCCACATTCGTTTAGCTTTTAAGTATGACTTGGTGCAGAATGGAAAACTGGTCCTTGTGCCATAAAACACCAACCAACTTACCTTTTAAGTTGCATTAACTGGAAAAAAATATAGATTGAACCAGAAATCTATTCTTTAGAAGAACCATTTTCCAGCTTTCGCCGACACTCCAACTGGACGAGACATAACTCGGCAATATTTATAATAAAGCAATTAAAATTTTTAGAAAGATATAAATGTAGTTTTTAACCTTATTTAGAAAAAATTTAGTTTGGCTAATAATGTGTTTGTATTAATTTAGGAATTGCATAATTTCGTTGTACAGCAACAATGCAAAGTAGCTTTTACACAGAAAAACATTAAAAAATTTAATTTAGGCAGAATTAATTTTTTAATGTATAATTATAATATTGAGTTGTAAAACAATGTTTTTAAAATGCAAAGCAAGTACGAAAAAAGAAGAGAATATTTTAGGCCTTAAGCATATGTAGCTCTACTTCCTACTGTTTACAATATCATTCAAGTTTAAGAAAAAGTGACATCGTTTAAATGGTTTATTCTCTTTTTATTCTTATTGGTTTATTCTGTTTCTTTTAAGAAATCAGCATTCTAAATTTATTTAAATTTAACATTTTTGTTATAAAATTGCAGTGTCTCAATGTTACCCATACGACACTCAAATGGGGAAAATTACCCCTAAAGTACTCCCCGAAGGTATTATGAACTCCAACACCTGTCGGTGGGCAGGAGCAAGGAGCCCGCCTATATTCCACTCTCACCTTTCTAACTGGTAAGGGGCTACATAACTCTAAGTACAGGATGAGCTGTGCAGAAAGTGTCTGAATGCAAATATTTTTAATTGTTCAGTCTAAAACTGCAAGCGGCCTGATGGTCAATTGGCTAGCGCTCTGGCTATTGGAATCACAGAATGCTGGTGGGGGCATACATGTTTGCTAGAGGATCGGAATCCACATTAAACTGTAGATCCCGATCTAATTAGCTTAAAGTGTGCAAAAAACGACCGTAGAGAGACAAACCAAAGCAAACCTTAAAATGTGAATTTCAATACTTGAGCTATAAAACAGCGATTTCAACATTGAGTTTCAATGAATACAAGAAAACGCAGTTTTTTTCTCCATATGCCTTTCTTTTTTATTGAACTCTTCACGAACTACTACATTTCATATTTTCACATGTGGGAAAGTTTTAATAACTGTCTTGAAGCGTGTAATCTTTCATTCCTCCACAACATAAATGCTTGGCATTCGTTCGCTCATCAACTCTGGTGTTCACTCCTCTTCAAGTAGCTAATATTGAAACAGGTTTCAAAGTAGACCATCGTTCGGGACTCCTAATTAGAATCATAATAAACTCTAAACCGGTGCAATATTATCTGACAGGAATCTTAAATCTGATGATACAGCTAATTCTCTGGAAGCACTGAAAACAGTTAACGCCCAACTCAGACTGATTTGTTTGAGGTCCACCCACAGTAATATTTAGTTATGTTTTGTAAGGGGATATATAATAAAAACTGTGGGAAGGGCTACTTTTTCCTTTCTGTTTTCTTTCTCCAATATAATGGAAGTTATTGGCTTGCGGCGTGAACAAAGCATCTATGCTGTCAGTGCATGTAAACCCGTTTTTTATTTGTGCCTTTTTTTTTTCATAATTTGTCCCTTCTGATAAATTTATATTAATCATGTCGCTTTATATACAGATAAAAATAGTTTTTTTAATTCATTATTTAATTTACTTTAATGAGACTTCTTTTTTTTAGAACGAATAAAACTGAACATTTAGCTTTTTAAAAACAAATGTAAAATTCGGACTTTGGATTTATTTTTATTAATTACAATTCATTTAGCAAAGAAATTATATGTTTTTATCATAGATCAATTTATTATCGCAAAAGTAAATTTCGATTTAAAGATTTAAATTTGGTGATTTTTTATGTTTTTGCATATTAGTAGTAAAATTGTAATGTGTTTAAACGTTTATTAGCTACATTTTTCTTTCTATAATTCGTCATTGTTCCTTATTTTTCATTTATTATACCACATACATTATCTAAAATGATAATCTGCAGTAATATAAAAAATAGGGACAAATTAAAAACTTGTGTAATATAATATAAAAAAATAGTAATACTTATTTTTCTTTTACTTAAAAATAAATGCACAATCGATTGCATTAAAATCATTATTCCTTTATTTCTTCTATTTTTATTTCATAAGTATATTTAATCTTAAAATCTTTTAAACTGAAATTAAAGCATGAATATTTTGTACTTAAAGACATTTGGATCAAATACGTTCATATTATCGTGAGCGATCATCAATTTGAGTTTTTTTTTTTTTTTTTTCTTTATTATTGATTTCATCATTGATGCTAAATTAAGATGATGTAAGCAACAATTTAATTTATTCTTGCCTTCCAATGTAAAATGTTTTACTTATCTTGTAAAGAATTCTATATATGGAAAAAAATTTTCTCTATCAGAGGAGGCGAGTTATTTTATAATAAATCATTTTTACATTAAAGTAGTGAAACATTTCTAGTCTTCTGGAGAAATTTCTCCAAATTTTAAGATATTAGGTTTGAACACTTTGTTGTACAAGAATATTATCTACAATTTAAGTATACCTACAGAAATTATCGTATAATATTATTATAACAATATTGTGCATATTCTGCATAACTCTCCATGTGTAACTTTAAATTCACAATCAATTTCAAATATTTGCTTATAATAATGTGTCAAATATTTCTTACATTTATACCTGTAATTGACCAACTCGTGACATATTGATAGTGAATGAAGCTTGAGTGCGGAAGACCTCGGGTTTGAATCGGCTGGTGCCGTCCGTTGTAGTTTTAAAAACGAGTAAACTCGGTATTGATTGTGTTTGTAAGGGTCTCGTATCGTCAGTCAGGTCTCTTGGTGGATTGTTTGGTCAGTCAGGCCTACCATTACTTATGCTGATAGGATTAAAACTTCAATTGTGTCTATTGGCATTCAAACAGATGACTCGTATTTCTTCTACAAGCTCAACTATCAGTCACTACCTCGTAAACAAGCACTTAATGCATCTTATAGACTTTCTACTTCTATCCCTTTATGTAGTACAGCACATACTTCTCCTTCCGCTCCCAGATCTTTCTGTCCGTCCAAATCTGCTCCAAAATTATCTGCAAGCACAAAGAATAGCCCACACAAAGTTTGGAGCAGTTACAAAAAAAACTTTGTTTTCTACTTCAATGAAATGTAAATCTTCAACAGATCACTTGTAAAAATTCAAAAAAAATTTTAATGCTAACAGATTTGAGCCGTTGAAATCTTACATTGATTGGAATAGTGCGAACGACAGGAGTTTAGAACAGATGAAGTTTTAATGCGTTCATTGTTATATTTTACTATTTCCTGAATTATATCTTATTTTGAAATAGTTTTTTAGTATTTTAACCTTTTATGAATTGTTTCGTTGTTACCTACCTGCACTTTTAAAAATTGTTTTACTTTTAATCATTTTGATCTTTAAAAAAGAAACTCCATTGTTTGGCGCAGCATGACAAGCTCTGCCTTATCTGCTTATCTGCTTATCTGCACCCTTCTGCCATTAAACCCCATCAACCAATTGAGGAAGAAGGATGGTACAGAGTCAGTAAATGTCATCCATGGGGTTATTAAATATTACAGATTTTTGACGCAGCATAGTCCAAACTTACCCTTGTACCATGAAACTACACAGTAACCCTGGTATGTTCATTCAAAATTGCATCCACATTTCACTGCTACAACGAAACAGCCTCCGACAACGGTGCACCCTGAGTAACGCTAAATATACTAAAAATCTGCTGTTTTAGTGGTGAATGACTTGAGTCAAATTGCCCAATATTAGAAACATTTTCCTTAAATTACAAAAAAAATTAATTTTAAATATTCTTTATCTGCAATCCAATATAAATTTCTTAGTATATCCAAATTTGATTTAAAAAAATATATATATATGAGTCTTGGTTAAGACTAATTACTAAAATCAAACACTTTAGCTGATTTTTTTTCAATTACCCAATAGCACATTTAGGACTTTAGCACTTTAGTTAACACTTACACAATAGCACAATAGCAGTTTAGTTAAATCTTACTCCAAGCTCTTTTTAGGGGATATTGGTCTGTATTTCTTTACACATGAGAAAACAAAGAAGATATCCATTCAGATAGTCTGATAATGACAGTTTGTTTGAACAGAACAAATCAGGAACAGAACAAATCAGAAACAGAACAGGATAAATCATGAAAGTGTACATAAACATACAGTTTTAATAGCCGTGTTGTTGTTTTTGTTGTTGTTTCTTATCCCACTTGGCTGGCCAAGCCCACGAGCCCATATGGACTCATGATTGAAGGGGAAGGAAGCAGCTTCTGTTGTGATGGAGCACCCGTAGGTAGAAGCCTGACTTTTGCTCCGTGACGCTCTTACAGTCATAGAAGACCGGGACCTACGGCTTAAAGTGGATTCCGAACCACTACAAACATCCATGGCACCGCCGGGATTCGAACCCGAAACCTGTGGCACCGAGCGCCAGAGCACTAGACACTCGGCCATTCAGGTCCCAAATTTGCCAACGGCACGCAGTGTTCCCAGGTGGTCACCCACCCAAGTACTGACCGCGCCCAATGATGCTTAACTTCGATTATCTAACGAGGTTAAGCATCATTGGGCGCCGTAGCCGTAGGTAAATATAGCACCCACAACATCTTCCTCTAAAAATTCTACAACCTAACTTCAATTTTTATGATCAGTTGTATTTGTTTTTATTTAAATGTATTTCAACATTTTTTTAAAAACCTATTCAAAGTTATTTTCAAAAAACAAATGATCTACTCTTACTGACAAATAATTTTCCTTTTAATTAATTATTTTATACACAATATAAAAAACGGATTCAATTAAAAATCCATAACTTCATCGAATGTCAAAATACACAGATCCAATTCAATATAGATTAATTAACAGTCATTTAATTATGTTGTAATGATTAACAATTGACGTGTCACGACGACATCTACTTGACATGCAATCTTCTGACATTAATTAGACTTCCTTCATATAAGCGCATTCAGGGTCAACAGTTTCTCATAAAAGAGTCATTTCTATTCATAAATAACGGAAAAACGCATTCCCAGTTCCACATAAAAGTTTATTGTCCGAGGACAACCGAATCTTAAAATCTTGCACGTAATGAGTGTGCCGACAACTGCAGGTTATTCCATTCTACTCTGTAGGTCTTTTCCTCACAGCAAGTAATGCGTAGAGAGAAGTAAAGAGGTAAACTTTTGTGTCTTCCTAAAATCTCTTATTGTTCGGACCTAAGCACAATCGCTTTCTTTTCTAAAAAGCTCGGTTTAGCCTTTTTGTTGGTAGAAAAAAAAAGGAAATCCTTTTTGATGGGTCTTTTTTAAATGTAAAATAATTGGGTAAGAACGTGAAGAAACTATTCTTGTTGTTTAGAAGTTACGTTTCTTGGTTTCAACTCGGTAACTGACAAGACGAATATGGGCATGAAAGAGGAAGCACTAGTTCTTTTCTCATTTAAGACCATTTATTTGCATCACGGAGCCAGTTCAATTGGGAGACTAAACTAGAATTTTTTTTTTTAAGCATTAAGCAGAGTGAAGGTCATCTCAATGAGAACTGTTTAAATGAAAATCTATGTTAGTCTCGCACTTTTAAACAGGATAGCATAATAAATAAAAGATGGGTAATATCTTCTGAGTGTTTTGAATTTTGAAAAGGTTGTTGGTCTGAAATTAATCCGAAAAGCGATACATTCACATGACAAGCATGATAATAAAATAAAATGATAGCCATTGAAAACTATTTCATTTATTTGGGTCTTGAATTGGAAATAAATTTCATATTTTATTTCAAATTATTTATAGGAGAAGATTTTTGATTACAATATTTCCCAGATTAACCCTTTATTTAGTGGTCATTATAATTTAATAATTTTAGAATTGTATAAATAACTGAGGATTTTTTTTTTTTTTTTTTTTGCAAAACAAAAATTTGAAAAAAAGTTCAATTTTTAACTTAAAAATTTAATAAAATCAAAAAAATATGATCTTTTAAAATACTTAATCTTTTATAGTAAATTTTAAGATATCTAAAATAAAAATTAATGGTTTTAGTAATTCCAAAATTTATTTTTTATTTAATGACAATTAGAATGTAATATTTAACGAATTGGAAATTAAGCGATTTCTATTTTGGGTTTAGAAGAGGTTTGATTTAAAACTAAACTAAAGAGGCCGCAGATTCCTTTTTAATTATATATATATATATTGTTGTTGATATATTGTTGTTTTTGAACATCGGCAGGCCTCTTCCGCTGATATACTATATGCTATGAACAGCAGCTGTCCTCCCTTCACTACCCGCCATTGGGTGGTGAAGGGAGGACATATTTCCTCCTGGATTTTTAGAAGGGTTGGGCCGCAGAGTCGTATATGGGGGGGAACCCTGAAAACTCTTTCAACCGCGTTCAGGGTGGGAGGCTTGTGTGAAAATTTTTAAATCGGTTTATTACAGTGAGTACATAACATGGAAAACGAGCGAACGCTCTTCGTGAAAGATAATCTCCGCTCCAGATAGAGTCGGCTTTTGGTAGCTCCTCTAAAGGAAGTTTTGGAATTCTGGTCAACTACCGACCAACCAATCAAATAGGTTTTCACGCTCAATTTGGATGCCAATTTTTAACGAGCTGTTATTCGTAGCGAACGTTTTCTAGTTATTGCGTAATGGAGAGGAGCGGAACTTTGATTTAATGAATATTCCTTTGGAACTAATTTTTTTAAAGTTAGATTTTTTTTTTTAGGACTTTACAATTCCTTAAATTTAGGTTTCAAGAATATCTTATCCTACCAAGATTCATTTTACATAATAAATTTTTTATAATCATTAATTATATAAGATAATATTTCTTGATACAAAAGTTTACTTTTAACTCAAAGTAAACTTTGATGTTTTCATCAATTCTATGTAAAAATATATTTCAGTTTTACATTTCTTTACATAGTCATTCTGTGTTATTTTTTTGTGCGTATGTGTGTGTTATATAATTAAGAATAATTTAACTTTATTATGTATGGATCTTTTTAATTATTTTGTATAGCTGAAAATGCTTCTGTTGAGCTGATTTAAATTCTTATAAATTTAAAGTAAGTTAAGAGGTAAGAAACATAAATATACTTTTTGATTTCTTTTAATTGGATAGTTCAGTTTATTGTTCCATTTTTTTTCATGAATCTTTTTGTAAAATTTTAATTTAAATTGTTATTTTCCCCTATCATTTTGTTATTAAATTCTAATAAAATTAAAATACTGCTTTAGCTGGTTTACATATTATGATAGGCCACTGAAACAAATTTTTCATATAATAAAAATGGATATTTGTTTGCTATTTAGTTTTTTTTTTCATTGCTTACACTAGTACTTTGTTACAATAGTTTAATTTTCTGTAAAATATAATTAATTTTAGATACAAATTTTTGCACTATTTTGATTTCATTTAAGATATTCATATTATTTATTTATTTATGTTATATTTTAAATCCATAATCAATCTATTTATATTGTTTCGATCCCTCTTATGAATTTTGTCTTCCATCAACGTCTTTCTTTAGAATTTTTACTTTAATCAATTCGTTAATAAACATGTACGATGAGCTAGCAAGCAGCATTAATGGGTCAGAGTCAATCATCCTTAGTTACTGAGTGACATCAAATGACTGCTTGTTACGTCATAACCATCTCAGTTTGGCCAAAACTGGCCCTTGTACCATAAAACACTTATCTACCTCCCTCCTTGTTTTTGAAAGCAGTCACTGCAACAGAAGCCTAAAGCGAGTTCGAACTTGAGCCCTCCTGCACACTATCTACGCACCTTATCTATCTACCACTAATCGCTATTACTTGTATAACTTAATAGGAAGAAAAAAAATCTTTTTATTTAAATTTTTTCAAAATTACTCAATAAATTTTATGCACTCATTAAAGAAGTTTGTAGGCTATATATAATATACTCAGAAGTTGGATTTATCAGTTTTTAAGAATATTTTTTCACTTCATTTAAGAAGTTCCTTCTGCATAGCATACCTTATAATGTGTGTAGTATGTATTCAATGCATTCTCAAATAAATAATCATAAGAGATATTTTTAACATTTATTTTAATAAATCACTTTTTCTATTTCGAGTAAAAATCGTGACATATTTTTTCAATATTTCATAAAATGCTTAATGTATATTTTAAGTAAATAGCTGCTTTAACATTCTTTTTTTGTAGCAAAGAAAATATTTGCTTTCTTCTGGAAGAAATAAGGGATTGCTTATCATTCTTTTTCCCTCTCCCAAACAAGTCTGGGTTCAAAACTTTGCCCTGCTCCACCCTCTACGAGTGCTCTTTCCACAAAGAACATGCCCTACATATTACATCTGAAGACAGCAACACAAAAAGTTTAATTGATGACACTGCCAAACAAGAACAATTTAAAAGGAGTGACTCTCTAAAATTAAATGATTAGAATTAAAAACTAATACTTTACATCGTACTATAAATCTTCTTATAAATATCAACAATGATGTCTGCAGTTTGAAAAAAAAAACCTGAAAAATTCACGATATAAATGTTGAACCAGAATAAATAGTAGAACCTTGATCCATCATTTTGGAATCCAAAGTTGAAAGATAAAATAATTGAGATTTTTTTTTTTTTTACTTTCCCATTAATTATTGTTTAAAGACGTTTTTCCAAGTTTACAAGTAGATGAGTACAAGCAAATGGCGCCAGTCCGAAAGGGTAGTTTGTTTTATATAAATCGTGCAACTTAAATGATATTTAAATTACGAACTACATAAGTATTGTTATTATATAAAAAGACATAATTGATGATAAATGATGAATTAAATTCGTACAAGATGAATTAATGAATTGACTTATGAGCATACATAATTGTATGACCAGTTTCTTCATCCTTGGAATAAAAATAATCTAATAATATATGTAAATTTAATTTCATGCACGAATAAATTTTCCAAATATTTTTTTAAATTTTAAAAAGATAAAAAAGGGAAAAGGTATTTTTATTTTCAAAAACAAATTATATCATACCAAATCAGACAATTCAATTACATAAAATTTATTTTAGAATAAAATTCCTCAAAACAGCACCCATGCATTACAAATAAGCATCAAATAAATTAATTTATTTGGTTAATGTCAATACCTCATCTAACGATTAAATCACCCATCTGAAAGAGGGGAAAAAACTCAGCAAAACCTCAGAAATGAAAATTGGAAAATGAATTATACTTTTTACAAAGAAAACACGACAAGGCTCGTAAAGTAATCAAGGCAACGAAGGCAAGTCACGCAATGATGAAGATGATGAATAATTTGACAAGTTACGAAAAGGGTGCATCAATGGTGATTAGATGTGTTACAGTTACTGTCAAAAGTAAAACCTTCGTGTGACTACGCGCCCTCGAGGTGTTATAATAAATATGTCATGGTATGTTATTAGTTTCGTTTCAAGGTGGAAAATACATTACCGACCTTTTTTAAAAAAATTACTATTTATTGTAGGAAATGCCTTGATTTTGCCATCACAATTTTTTTCCTGCCAAACTTTCTGACAAGATCAGTCAAT